GAGAGAGAGATGCCACCACCCCAAATAAAAAAAAACAAAATAAGTACTTCATAATTTATTTTAGATATATGGTGACTTTTTAAAGGCCAGAACAAAATATTAAGAAAAATCGATTTAATCATGACTGCGCTTGCATCTGAGGAAACCAGTTTTCGAAATTCTAGGTGCGTTTGACTTAATGCGCAGTCTCATGTTCGTCTTGAACTTCCAGTTATTCTTGTCTTTGTTTTTATTTTGGAGAAGAAGTGAAAATCGCAGATTCACAAAGTAGGGTCGAAACAAAGTGGTACTAATACCCGAAGAATGTGTCGCACAGTGGCATACGAACGGACGCATGGACCAAATTCCGTCAAGTTGTTCCTGAAATAAATCACAGTTGAGAGCTGGAGGAATCATTTCGCACTCATAAATTCATCCTGAATTTCTTCCGGACATCGGCAATTCCACTGACACGTGGAACGGGTTTCTCACCAGCGCAGCTTCTTTTCGGAAAGTTCAGGAAATATCGTTGCTTTTCGTTTCTAGCGATTGAAGATGTTTCAATAATTTCATCGCGTAATTTTTTGAATTCTCCTGCGATCCTTCATCACTGTTGAATGTTTCGAACATTGCAGTTCCCAACCTTGCGTTTACGTCGCCAGTTTGTTTCAAGTTTGGAAACAATGCTGAGATTGTCCTCTGAATGATAATTGTCAAAATTGCTTGCCTGAAGTTTCAATCACTTTGTTTAACTGGCCAAATAGTATCCGATAAAAGCCATCCTCGCATCCAGTCAGTTAGTTTGCCAGTGAATCTGAATTTCCCCTGCATCATTCAAACACGCGGTTCACAACATTCTCCCTTGATAACCATCGAACCAGCAGTAATAGAAGAGCAAGCTTCATGACTGAATCATATCTTTACAGAGTCTCTTGAACAAACGAGTATTAGGCACTAGATTTTATGTATAAGCATTTATATATTTATGTATATTTCTATTTGTTTTTCTCTATATATGTGTCTTTGTGTATATTAAGTTTAGCTGATGTGTCATATATCCGATGATCATATCCTATATCCCGTCTGAGGTCGAGTTCCTAATTTTTCTTCTGCAAGCCTGATCTGGATCCAAGCATCGCCAGGTGCTCCGTCAGTGCAATTCCAACAACATTTTCACTCTAATTGATGTGTTTCAAAGAAAAGTACGTATCATTTCATGACGTCTTCACTCTTCGTTGTAGTTTTTTAGGTGCCAAAACAAAAATCTTCTTAATGTCATCCAAATAATATATTTAGCGAAAAACAAGTACTGGAACAGGAACTAACATCTGCCCAGATTCATCCAGTTGTAAGAAAAGAAGGGGACTCTCTTATTTCCGCTTAAAATTTGCTCTCGCACATCTGCTGACATATCTGCAACTGCGCCTTTGAAATTGTGTTGTTGGACAAGATATATTACGCATTTTTCATCTCGGACGCGTCTCAAGAATCAACTTAACTGTTTACTTAATAGGCATGGCTTGTAATGAGCGTTTCGGCATATTGTGTGAGGTTTTTTTATTTTTACAACTTCGAAGCAATTTCCATACGATGCTTGAACATTCCGCTTGGTTTGTTGGCTGAATAGCTTCACTGCAGGTCGCAGTTTGGGT